AACACAGACTAGAGAGCAAGTTTTTCACAGTTTGCTTTAGAACTTCTTATGTTTTATGGAATAGCTAGTATTAGTGAAGTATATGGATTACATGCAAAGTAACATTAGAAAAAAAGCATTAATAACACGACATTAGTCGTCAATGCTCTTTTTTTAGAAACAAACGCTTAGCTGATGAACGCTCTCAGCTTACAAATCAGAATACCAACCTCTATGGAGACTACGAAAGGATCTGGGACGTAGGGTTTTCTTCTAAATTTTCTGCATGTCATCTCTTTTAGACCTAGATTATTCAGGAAATCGCTCGCATTCGTCTCGAATTGGCCGAATATAAAGCTAGAGAAGAAAGACTCCTTGCTGAAAAAGAATTCCTGCTCAAGTACGTCATCTTGATTTTGCCGCATACGAATGCTCTGAACCTTTTAACAGATTTTATTTAAACATTTAGGGTACAAGAACGTGAAGTGGTGGAGATTAACAAACTTCTCCCCATATCTTCATTTGATGCTAGACAATTCTTTGAAAACGATATTGCCCTTGCCGTCAAGTAAGAAAGATATTCGTTACAGCTATGCTTGAAAAAAAGTTTTAGAACTTCTTTAGAGACATCAAACTCGAGTATGAAACATCTTACAAGCTAAGACGTGGTGAAGTTACATCCCTCTATCAGCAGAAGGTTTGAACGAGTATGTTCGGTATAGTGGAAAAAGAAAATGATGTAACAGTGCTTCAGCTGGATGAGTTGAGCACATTGGCCCAACGAGCGAGCTCTGATGAGTCCAGATACCGTAGAGATCAGATTGCTAAGATGGAAAATATGATTGGTGACCTCAGGATGAATTTCCGTCCTCTTGAGGATAAAAATCAAACACTGGAGAAGCAGTACAAGCAACTTCAGGATTCGGTGGGTCCTCGAATTTTTAAATACCCCGATTTTTTATGAACCTTAATTGGTAGAACATCTGTGATCGCATCGATTTCCTTTCAGATAAAAACTGATGAGGACCGCTTTGAAGCAGAGAAACGACGTCGTGACGGTGAGTACAAAGATGCGCTTGCGAGATACCAACGTTTGGTAAGTCGCATTTTGGAATGGTAGGATTTTCCTTTTTGCTCATGGAAAAAAGTAGCCCTTCTTTGCGAGCACTAGAGATGTATCTATATTAATTTTTGCTGCTCAGCTATATTACTGCCGTCATATTCAAAGTCCTATTTTGAAAAGTTGGATAGTTAATTTAACGTAGTCGTTTAGGAAGACTAAGTTGCTACATGTCATATGGTTAAAATGTGAATTGCGGCAAAACATTGGCGATTAGTTACCTCGCGAGTTCGATATCATTTTGCAATAGCGCCTCTTTCTTTGCGCACAGGGTCCAGGGATTACAGAATATTTAAAAATTAAAAAATGTTTCAATTAAGATGCAGAAAAATGTGAATTAATGTAATATCATATGTAGTAATATATGTAAAATAAT